CATCACTGGGGTCATAGAGGTTCTTGTTATGGGCATCACTGGGGTCATAGAGGTTCTTTTTATGGGCATCACTGGGATCATAGAGGTTGTTGTAATGGGCATCACCTGGGGTCATAGAGATTCTAGTAATGGGCATTATCGGGGTCATAGAGATTCTAGTAATGGGCATTATCGGGGTCATAGAGGTTCTTGTAATGGACATCACTGGGGTCATAGAGGTTCTTGTTATGGGCATCACTGGGGTCATAGAGGTTCTTTTTATGGGCATCACTGGGATCATAGAGGTTGTTGTAATGGGCATCACCTGGGGTCATAGAGATTCTAGTAATGGGCATTATCGGGGTCATAGAGATTCTAGTAATGGGCATTATCGGGGTCATAGAGGTTCTTGTAATGGACATCACTGGGGTCATAGAGATTCTAGTAATGGGCATCATCGGGGTCATAGAGGTTCTTGTAATGGGCATCATCGGGGTCATAGAGGTTCTTGTAATGGGCATCACTGGGGTTCTATTGGTTCTTATAATGGGCATAACTTGGGTTGTAGACGTTCTTATAATGGGGATCACTGGGGTCATAGAGGTTCTTGTAATGGGCATCACTGGGGTTATAGAGGTTCTTGTAATGGGCATCACTGGGGTTATAGAGGTTCTTGTAAGGGGCATCACTGAGGTCATAGTGGCTGCTGTAATGGGCATCACTTCCGGTCGAATGTAACATTTGTAAAATACCACCTTATGGCCACTAGATGGTGCTGAGAAGCACAGGAAATGAGCACTTCTTTCTTAGGCTCCTCAGCTCCATCTAGTGGCCAAATGGAGGCATTTTACAAATATTACATTCGACCCGCACAGACCAATATACTGAGAACATTCATTTTTGCCTCCGTTGGCACAGAAGGAACGCCTGCAGAGGCTCGCAGGACGAATGGCTCTGTGCACGGTTTCTGTACAGACTGAAGGAAGGGCACAGACGCCTTTTGTATGTAGACAATGTTTGCTCATCCCGGAGTTCGGTTATAACCTCGGAGTCTGCTGCGTGTCATGTCACACGTATGACCTACATATGCAGCACCTGTGTGATCTGCACATGGGTGTGGGGACGGCTGTACAGACCAGAGTGACACACAAGGGTGACATAACGATGAAGAATAAAGAGGAAACAATTGTAGCGAGCAAGAACCATGAGATACAATGACACGGAGACAGTGATGGGGGACACGGAGCAACGACACGGGGCCAGGTAACCCCGGCTTCTTACCCCCTCCTCGGCCCGTCGCCATCTTCCCCAGGCCCGGCTGGCGTGGCCGCCCCTATCGATTGCAGAACCCGGGTTCAGTGATCGAGTGACAAACAGCCGCAGCTTCCTGACAGCAGACATCACATCAGGAAGTGCACAGTGAGAGTGCTGAGCGCTGCAATCACTCTGATGAGACTGTATGGCTCACGCCGGGGGCAGGGCTGTGCTCGCTGCTTCTGTGCACTTCCTAAATTTGCCAGACGCTGCACGCTTGCACAATTGCCCCCCCCCCCCCCCCACACACACACACACACTTCCAGCAGGGGTCTGCGTTCTTAAAGCTGATGCACCGTACGGCTATGAAACCCCTCACATCCAAAAACGAAAACTGTGCTGTACATAGCCCGTGCAGTGAGCAGAGCGGTGGAAAACTACAAGAGGGGGCGGAGATAAGACCAGTCACCCTGCACAAGGAGAGAGAGCAGCAGTGAGCGGTCTTTATTACAGGAGGGGGCGGAGACAAGACCAGTCACCCTGCACAAGGAGAGAAAACGGCAGTGAGCGGTCTTTATTACAAGAGGGGGCGGAGAAAAGACCAGTCACCCTGCACAAGGAGAGAGAGCAGCAGTGAGCGGTCTTTATTACAGGAGGGGGCGGAGACAAGACCAGTCACCCTGCACAAGGAGAGAAAACGGCAGTGAGCGGTCTTTATTACAGGAGGGGGCGGAGACAAGACCAGTCACCCTGCACAAGGAGAGAGAGCAGCAGTGAGCGGTCTTTATTACAGGAGGGGGCGGAGACAAGACCAGTCACCCTGCACAAGGAGAGAAAACGGCAGTGAGCGGTCTTTATTACAGGAGGGGGCGGAGACAAGACCAGTCACCCTGCACAAGGAGAGAAAGCAGCAGTGACCGGTCTTTATTACAGGAGGGGGCGGAGACAAGACCAGTCACCCTGCACAAGGAGAGAGAGCAGCAGTGAAACCCAGGACGCTCCTGCGGTGTAGTCAGCCCTTCCTGAGTCCTCCCCTGCTGGGCTACAGGACACATCTCCCTTCCCTCTCTCCATAACCCCGCCTCCTCTCATTTGCAGTTACATAATCAGCACTCTTTCTTCTATACTGAGAATGTAAACAAGGCGGGGTTATGCAGATGAGGAGGGCGGGGCGTTCTGTAGTGCAGCAGGTCCTCTGTTGCGGACACCATCATCCAGTCCCGCCATGGAACATGCCAACGCTCATGCAATAGGTGAGGCCACAAAAAAGCAAGATAAGACATGTTTGAGATCTGCAGCAACACGGGTACACTCAGTATTGTGAGTCCTGCCTACTGGGCTGATGAAAGCGGTGGGCGGAGCCAGTATTTGGCTTCACCAGCTCGCTCATGTCAAAGCACACACATGGGCACCCTATAGCACCATCAAAGGCACCAGGGATATACAGCCATGTGGCTATAGTATCTTTTGCATCCAATTAAATCCTTACCCATTCTAAGGCCTGATGAAGGGGGATGGGGGGGTGTAGCTGCCCCCGAAATGCGTTGGATGGTTTTGGTTTGATCAAATTGTGAACAATTAAAGGGACCTCTGAACATTGATACAGTACAGCAATGGGGTCCTACGAGGGTGTAGAGCAGGGGTGGGCAACCTCAGAACTCCAGCTGTGGTGAAGGTACAAATCCCATCATGCCTCTGCCTCTGGAAGTCACGCCTGTGGCTGTCAGAGTCTTGCAGTGCATCATGGGATTTGTAGTTCCACCACAGCCGGAGTGCCGAGGTTGCCCACCC